GCGCCATCTATAACAATTGACGTTTCGAACGTATCAGCGGCAATTTTGCTTCATTCAGGCGAGACGAACCATTCACTTGAATAATGATCGAGTACTTTTAGTAAACGGCCCTTGTCATAGTATTGGTGAAGCGTATTGGCGTTGGAGAGGTACTGATCGAGCATCTTGGTCTTGACATCGACGTATCGCTCCTCTGTGTTATACAGCAACAGCTAAGGCCCGAAAGCCACGGTTACCGTCTGGCATGGGATTATGCACCATTTCAACAGCTGATGGAGGAATCCAGTTGCAAACAAGGTTAAGGTTAGGTACAAAGTGAATTTTTGGAGGAGGAGGGATGGTGAGTGCCATGTTGTTTGAGGATGTGATAGTCGGTATTGTGTTGTTTGCTTCATTTGTTGTTGGCTCCATCTTTTCATTCCTATAGATATTAAAAATGTGAATTAAAAGGTGGCTATACATCTTAATACATAAAACTTTACTATATTGCTGCAGCATCACGACCAATGTCGGTGTTTGCTTTCTTTCGGCTTTGAGGGTTCTGATGCTCTGAAGCGATCAGCTCACGCTTGTTGCTGCTGCTAGGCGGTTTTTGGGTGCTTTTCGGGATTGATTTGGGCTGCTGAAGCTGCTCAACGTCGATGAACATATCATCATAGATAGACTGTAGGTGCGCGACGAGAGTTGCACGTTGTTGATTATCTGGAAAGCGGTGTAAAGGCTGTTGAGGCGTGTGAGCTCTTTCGGTTGCGATTCCAGGCTTAGGGCTTTGAATGGACCAGTCATCGCCAAAATGTTGCTATTCCTATTGCTTGTGTTTGGTTCTCCTAAAAACCACATAACCACAAGAATCAGCTACGTGAAAGTATAAACAGCTTTTACATAACAGCCCATGACTACCTTGAGGTGCTGTTTTCTCAGGGTAAAGGTGCCAACGTCTGGTGATCAAGCTTAAGGGGATTTCACTTTATGATGGAAGCATATGGCAGCAAGGAACATCATAATGATATTAATTACACATTGGCAGTGATCAGTCTCTAACGGGTTATTGTCTGTTAGCTCGTCACGGATGGCATATCAATGAAAGTGAACTTGGAAATTTTACGTTTTAAAGCTGCTAAACGCTGTTTTTGCTGTGGTGGGATGTTTCCGCCAAAACTTTTCTTGTCGATCTGTCGCTTCCAATCCAAATTCTAATACAGTTGACCCCCGTTTTTTGCAGTTCAAACATTATTTTATCTTTAGTATTGGAGAAAATGACATTAGCGGCAACATCCAGCAGGCAATTTGCCAGTCATTGTGATTCGACAGGAAGAGGAGTATAGGATAGATATAAAGGACGAAGGAGACAAGCGGGAAAACCCTCAGGGGGAGAAAAACCCGGCTGTAAAACAGAAGAGGAGGCGAAGGTACGTGAAACGTGGATAATACAAAAGAAAATAGAAGAAAAGAAATATATACAAAGGGTTTGTCAGGGACAAAGAGTAACAAGGGAGGAGAGGTGGTATCACTGGTAAAAGTACTAGCTATTGGCGGTGGTGGTAAAGGACTGGTCAAGGGCCAGTCGTGGATCTGGTTCAGGGTCGACTTCCACATCGAGATGGCTGCAGATGTCGATATCCCCAAGCGTGTAGATGAGCAGCGGCCATGTCGTGCGCCGATGTCCATATCGTAGACTTCTTGGGCTGCGTGGTAGTGTGTTCATGATGGTGTCGAGCGGGTGTTGGTCAGCAGGCACAGGACCGTGGAAAGCTGCTTGCAGGCGCTGAATGCTGGGCCCAACCAGCGGGCACTCCAAAAAGCGGCGTCGATTTGCTTGGTGCACACCGCAGCGGCAGTCCTTCAGGGGGCGGGAGGGCAACCAGTGCATCCTCCATTTCACCATTCGATGTCAGGCGGCGCTATGCAGTGGGAGGAACAGAATTGGGTCCCATTGGCGTATCGCGAGTGCACGGGCCACTGAGGTGAATTTTTCGCGGCGGTCATGCAGTTCCTGGTCTAGGTGGGCGTTGATCACATGCTGTTGAGGGTGACGTGGAAACGGGCTTGTTTTGTCAAAATTTGTTAGTCGGCCCACAGCTTGTTTCCCTTCAGCACAGCCCAAAGTTCTGGTGGCCCACGTTGACGCAGGAAAGTCGTGACAATACACGCCAGTAATGTAGACGGTGGAATTTCGTACGCGCGATAGAGGAACTTGAATTGCAGCCTGCGCGCTCGTAGCTGGGTGGACGGCAAGGCAGCAAGGTGGAGAGGTACTATTGTAGGTGTTCGGGCACTGACGGCAGTGACGTTGAGCGCCATCCGGATACAGCGTGTTTGAGCTTGTTCGATTCTCTTAGAGTTTGTTGCGGTAAGCGTAACGATGGCCAACCCATATTCGACAATGGGCCGGATAAACGAGCGATACAAACGAAGGGTGACGCCGAGGCCAAAGCTGTATTGGTGAGCACCGAGGGACCAGAGCACGCGCATAGCATCAGTGGTCTTTGTGGCGTTGTGGTTGATGAGACGGGAGACTTCGATGCCGGTAGAACAGAAAGGTATGCCGAGGTAGTTAAACCAGGCAACCTGGTCAATGCTCTCTCCATAGAGACGGTAGCTGGTGCTGGGGTCGCCGTTGACGATTTGGCATTTGTCGGGATGCCATTGATAACCGTACTGCCGAGAGTGTTGTTCCGCTTTGGCAGGTAAATGTTGGACTTCTTCGGATGTGCCGAGGATGGCGACATCATCGGCGTACAAAAGCGAATGGATGATGGTGGTCTCGGTATCCTGACGGAGTGGGTCACGAAGAGTGCGACGTATCATTGTTTGAGCTGACGCTTCAGTATGCTCACCAAGAGGGACTGTGCGTACAGAGAGCGATGGGCCACTACCAAGGCGAAGCGAGTGTGGCAAAGAGTCGATGAACACCGCATAAGTAATGGGCTCAGAATAGACCCCTGGAGTACACCGTGACGAGGCCGGATTGCTCTTGATTGGTGATTCTTGAGGATGACCGTGATAGATACATCGTCAAACATGTGTTTTAGGAGGTCGAGCAACGTTGGCTGCAGGTGACTGGCTAGAGTTTGCCAGATCACTTGTCGATCCACGGAGTCATATGCAGACTTGATGTCTAGAAACGCAAGGACGGGACGGCTATCGAAAGCACGATGGAACTGGCGCATCAGGGTTTGAAGATTGTAGGCTTGGTCGAGAGCACCGCGACCAACACGGGAAACCGCCTTGGGCGACCCGTTTTTTGCACCTCCACTTTTGCAGATCCTCGGTTTTTGCTTGGAAGAATCCCGGTCATCACTTAGTAAAATTGCAGTTTACTCACTTTTTGCATTTTGCAGCCCAAAAAACAGGACGTGCAATTTTCCGCTAGTGGTTTTCATTCTTCTAGAGAGCGGCGACGCTGAGAATCGAACCAATAATACTTACCAGTTTTCTGTATAAAGGTCTATATCATTAAATAAAGGTTTTATCACTGAAAGTAATTGGTGATTCTGGATTGTTTGTTCTGGCTTTTCTTACAGAAACTATCCCAGATTTTTCTGAGCACATTCTAGATGGTTTGATGTTCTGGGGCATCTAATATACTGATTGTTTTTTCTTACTAGTGCAACAGGTTTAGATGAAACAGTCATGCTAATGTCTTCGTTATCATTGTCAACAACATCATCATCAGCTATTTTTTCATTAAGAACAGCATTAACAATTTCTTCATTGGACAGCAGTAGTAGATGAACAGCTGTAAATTCCTCAGGTGGATCTGAAGCTTGCTAGGTTGTTGGCACCATAAATAAGGCTTAGATAATCATTGATCTGGGCAAGTGCATCTTCGTCTGCATTATCTGATCCACTGTCAGTGCTGTTAGTCATGACTGCACCTACTAAATTTGCACAGTGCATTTTCTATGCGATATAATACTGATAGTTGCCTCATTTATTTTGTCAGTAAGCTTTTCGTAATTTCCTTTGTTATGATGTATGGTGTGAATAGTGTTTACAAAACAATTGCAAAAAGAGTTGAGTCTTTCTACAGTATTTATTTAGAAGTTGCAATATAGAAGTAACCTCAACGAAGTACCGATATTCTTTAATTGGCTCACATAATTGATCCTAGTAATACTCCGGCCCCTGTCGCTAGTGTCGTTTTATAACTTGCGGTTTCTAGACTATTTGGTCTAACCGCAAGAACCGCAAAAACCGCAAACTGCGGTAATTGAATCGTGTGACCCAGACTTTGATATGTAGCAGTATTAGCTCCCATAATACATGACTTCCCCTCCTTCTCCGTAGTTCCAATAAACATGCCTCCCAAACGTGCACGAGGATTTGGCAACAAACGCGTCTCATCTTTTGCAAGTCTTAAGAGCAACGGAGCGAGAAAAGTAATCAGGATCACGCAGCCTTTGGATCTTGGAGGCACTTTGAGTGTCCCACCTGTAGTTCAGCCAGCGTCCAAGCGATCGCCCATGCGCGATGAGAACACAAATTCTTCGAACAAGAGAAGAAAAGCTGACAATCGTGCTCAAAGCTGGGCAAACATTCTACCTTCCCTTCTTACAGCTTATAAGCAAGGTTATGGTATTGAGGAGCCTGCACCTCAGGCGCTGGTTCCCATTGACGATCCTCTGCTTTGCCATTGTCCTGAAAGCAAGCGAAAGGAAAAGGCTGTTACTTGTATTTACAAGTGCGGTGCGTATAAAAGGAAATCATATCTTTGAAACAAAGGAAGGATATGCTACTGATGTTAACGTGTATGCTTCAGGTATCCGTACTGCCACAGTTAAATATTGCAGCGAGTGCCCAGATCATTCGTTGCCGTTGGTATTGATGCGCCGCCACCTGTTTCCCATGACACCATCAGGGCCGAATCACGCTGTTCATATCGAGCAAATGCGCAGTTTTCATAACCTGCACTACATTTGCCGTGTTTCGGTCCATTCCATTGCAAGTTGGGCCCAAGCAGAGTATCATCAAAAGGTATTTTTTCCGGTGAAAGTGTTATTGGACAAGTGTCACTTATAGTTGAATATTCATGTAGCTTCCGATTGCTGCTAGCTTCAAGCAACGTCTTAGTGAAGCACTTCCAATGTATGGAAGGTTAATGCTTAACTTGGAAAAGGAGCTTAGAGACGATTGCGATCTTGAGAGGGCTTGTCCAGCATGCAAATACAAGGTAAACTTTTGCACGATTAGTGTTAGCATATAATTACTTTCATATACTGAGCTGATGACCTGATATTTCTGCTAGTCCGGATCCAAGATTGTTGCTGCAGATGGCAACATGCAACTACGCAGATTCAAAAAAGCACAGGATCCGAAAGACGTGGTATTTGCTGGCCAAGAAGAAGTAGATTGGTATTGGGTGAAAAATCGCCAAGTTGTCCCGTATGGTGGATCAGTAAGTCTAAACGATTTGAGCGATAAAAATTGCAATTGTATGCAGCTGAAATACTAAAAATTCATGTATTCAGGCAACTGATGGATGCAGTACTTGGCAAGCTCTTGAAAAGGGACGTGGCCGGATGGACCATCTTGATCAGAATGGTGCATTCGCATGCACTTGTGGTCACGGTCTTCCTTTGGCCATGATCGACATAACAACAGCCGGTGAACAGTGAGTATGATGATACGATGAAGTCAAGATTATCGAAAGACTGATTCTCTTATCTATAAATCACTAGGTTCACCTATGTTCTCAGCTGTTTAAAAAAAGTATCTGAGATGCCATTGTATGGATCAGACATCCGCATCATGTACGATGTTGGCTGTAAAATTCGCAAGGCCCTGCAGGTGAGTTTTGTTGGACTCTTTTCATTAAGTTTAAACATCGATAAACTTGTGTATTGGTTATTAGGAAACGGAATGCTTGGACAGTATAAAGGATGTACCTATTGCGGTCGGCATTTTCCATATCACTGGTCATTCGCCAGAATGCCAGATCCACTTTCATCCTCGCCTCAAAGAGGGGTGGGGAATACAGGATGGGGAGCATCTCGAGCGGCTTTGGTCCTTCCTCAACGGATTTGTGGCCATGACACGTAACATGTCGTCTCTCAACAGACGGCTTACTCTGACTATTGCTCTTGACTTCTTTACCGAGCAGCGAATAGACAACCTTGGTACCGAGTCTCTCATGATCATTTTTAAAAACTGCGTTGCTCTTTGCTAATAGTGAACTTACTACTAGGTGTGAACCTCCGACGTAGGTTCGAACGCGCGGTGGAACTCAAAGCTGACGCTTTGGAAGCACTAAGGAACGCCGGTATTGAAGAGAATGATAACATTTCCATTGCATTAATGGCAATGAAATGGCAGGACCATTTGGATGAGACGGTTCAGAGAGAAACAAGCAATACAGGACGAGGTGGAAGGTTTGGCGTCTCTAGCAGAGCCATAGAGAACTTGCGTCTTGCCATCGCCATTTACGATTTAATCGAACAGGCATTCAAACAACAGGGCAATGGTAATTAGCTATCAAGGATGTCTTAATGGGGTTAATGACTAATTTGCATTATGCCATTATTTTCTAGGTCACAATCGTACGCAAAACCTTGCAGCGCAAAGAAAAGCCGCTCGTAAGCAGGTTGATATCAAATTTGACCAGTATATCGAGAAATTAACAAGAGCTCCAATTTTTGGTAAGTTTATCAGAATACATATACATACACTGAAGCTGTTATTAAGGGTACAATTATAACGACAGGCTATGACTTGTACAAGGATTCAAACACTGTGTTGAAAAAGAACAGCCACTTTCGTTTCCGCTGTAACATCATTTCTCCTGTGGAAAACGATGCACCCTATGACGCTTTCCATGGTTTAAAAAGAGCCAACGAAGAGCTCGAAATTTTGAAGGTAAGAAATCGCGCGTAAGAAACTGAGCAATGTATCTGCGACTCTAATATGCAAACAAACAAAAAAGGACGAAGCTGCTTCAGTTATTAGATTCGGCGATGACGTCGTGAAGAAGCGTCAAGACGCCATTGCATCTGTACCGGAAAACTTGCAAGTACCTTTGAGCGCCGGATTCTGGTACGAGAGACAAGGCATGGTGGTTATGTTGAAGCGGAAGTTGGAGAGAGCCGAGACATGGGTGAAAGATCAGAAGCGGCTATTAGCCAAAATTGCTGATGGATCAGCTTTCAACGGCACCGCTACGCAGTCCAGACTTGCATCGACAGCAGTACGACAGCCAAACGAAGATGATAACGAAGATGATGAAGAAGGTGAAGGTGACCAGGAGACAGTAGAGCTGGCACCCGAATTGCAAGGAGAGAATGAGAACGATGACGATGACGAAGAGTGGATCGATGAAGATGACAACATGTTCGAGAGCATTTTCGCTGCCGATGAAGTTCCGGTATAAAAAAAGTAGTAAATATATCAACAAAACTAAGATCAAATGTTACTGTTGTTATGGTTAGATATCTTTAGAAGTTATCCCGATCGATGTTTGACTACAGCGTCTGCAGGCAATTTTAATCAATGGGTGTATACTACCATGGAAAACAGAATGCATCGGCACTATCGATTATGCATGTAGGTGTTCAACGCATACTTCGTTAGTGAAACTTACCGTTGCAAAACAATTAGGTAAACGGAAATCATTATGGATAAAGCGATTGATTGTATTCTAGCGCTAGCACTTACTGCTGTTGGTTTGAGGGCTATCTTTTCATGAAACGTACTGAGTAGCATTATTTAGCTTTTACCGTTTGTCATTCGGTTCCCCCAAGGGCGGGAGACGAAGAGCTACAAAAAGTTAAGTATAAAACATAGATACTCATTCGAACAAGCGTAATAAATTGCAACATCATAAATCAAGATCCATTTGCTCGCTCACCTACAATCGATTGTATATGAAAGCCAGTAAAAGATGATGTAGATAGTTTTAAAATGTGCATCTAGAACATAAAGTCTTTTTCTCTTCTCTCCAATCCTCCATCATCATCACTAATATACCCGTCACTCTGCTCAATACCAGTGCTGCAATCTTCCTCCGTTTCTCCCTCTCCTCCTACTCCTTCTCCTGCCTCTAAGCTGGCCGGGTGCCGCTTGTACAAGAGTCTGGCCCACTCCTTCTCTCTTGACTCGCGTAATATATTGGAATACGACACGCGGTCGCCGTCGCCGTGATCGTCATCGTCAGTGGCGTTTCCTCGCTCGATACCACAGTCAGAAGTGGCGCGCATCAACAAGGGGTTGCCAATCCACCGGAAAGCGCGGAACTTGGGGCCATAGTTGGCTAAAAACTTGGGCGCCCTGTCACTCAATGCATTTCTGACCGCATCGTTGACGCTCAGCGTATCCCTGCCCGACAGTTGACTGTAGGCATCATACGCATCTTCCATGAACAAGTTGCCAAAGAAGTGTTCGTATGTTGGGTCAAACACTGACCGTCCTTCTAGGGCACATAGTTTGTACACGGCGTACTTCCAGCAGTCACCAAACTTCTTACGGCTTTCAGCAATGGTCGGCTCGTTTTCAATTTGATCGATTGTAGCATCAATATGTTCAAACATTTTGAGGTACGCGTGATGCCAACTTTCTGCACCGATCAACGAAACGAGCTTGTTCAGGTACTTTTTCGCAGCTTCGTCCCGCCTTTGCCCCTTGTATACCAGCGATTTGGCAAGAGCGCGCTTCCTTTCATTTTGCCTCTTGTTCAAGATACGTAGCGTTCCAGATATCGTCTTTTTAGGACCAGGCTTGACTGGCTCGAACCGCACTTTGTGGACATCAACTAGGTGCCGCTTATAGGTGTGGTCTGCTACAAACTGCGTAGAGCAGTTGATGCAATAGTTATGCAACGGATACTGCGTTGGGTTATATTTGTCGGAGTACCACGTTTCCGTTGGCATGCCGGGTGTCATAGAGGCGCGGCGCGGGCGACCACAAGGCAAAGTGGATTGAGGTGGAGGTGGTAAGGATGGAGTGGAAAAGACAGCGTCGTTGAGCGCGTATTGGCTACTGCTCAGATATTAGTATATACCATTACCACGATAAATCAATTTCCTTGAATAAACATACCTGGGAGGAGTTGGAGACATAGTTTTCGAGCAAGAAACGCAGTAGGAATATCAAGAAGGCTTTGAGCTCGTGGACCGTAAAAAAGACAGCTTATATAACAAAGTATGAATGAGCTCCGATTAAAACTGCAATCTCTCATCACACCTTTTTAAGTCAAGTGAAAGGCGTACTGTATTAAGTGCGTAAGTACGAAGTTGAAAAAGAAACACGCTATATGAAGATGTAAGATTAATCACAGTAAAACCTAGAATGATACATTGCCAGGGGTGCGCATATAGGTAGTTTATAGTGGTGGTAGCCAGTGCTCTTTTTATGTGAAGCAACTCATTCATCGATTTTATCGCGGAGCCAGAAGTGCCTGTCATAGTTGCAACTCTGACAGCTGCTTTTTCTGACGTTGTAACTAAGCAATTCGGTGCTGCTTATTTGCGAGAAGCATTATCATTTTCGCCTGTTACTTGCTTGCTCCGGGATAAAGCTATTAGTAAACGCCAATCAAACATATTTGTAATAACTATACACATTATGAAGAGCAAAAATCATATCAGTTGATAAGTATAATGTTATTTCTGATAAAGAGCAGACCAGTGATCAGCTTCTAGTTGCTAACTTGGCTTTATCATATGGATGAAGTATAGTTTGGTTTATGAAGAAGGGAGCAAGAACTAGTAGTACTATTTGTTTATCCCTCACTAATATATAATACTCAAGTAAAGTAACGTTGTAGTTGATTATACGTATACGGTAATATTTTTTTACTTTTACCACGATACAAGTATAATCTGTGCCATCGACTGTAATCATCATACAGATGTTATACTTTTATAGATGTATGTTGTTGCTGCATATGTACAGTATATGTGTATATACCTATCTTTCTTCGTTTTTCTTATCACAAAATATTCATGATGAATTGTTCATTTACTACCGTTCAACATTTTGTCGAGTAAAGATCATTACATAGGTCCCATAAACGTACTCAAAGCACAGTTTACTCAGTTATATTTGTGCGTACTGTATTAAGAAGTAGATTGACTAGTGTCTGTGTTCTTGATATAGGAATATGTGAGACTGAATACTGTAGATCACATCTCTGCTCTTTTATAGTAATGGCAAATGCAGATCAAGCATATGCTGGAATCAATTGAGTAGACCTTTCGGTAGTAACAATTTAATATACTGTATATAGACTGTTGATGGGCTTATGTCTACTAAAATGAAATGTATCTTCCTTGAATGTAGTTCAATATAAGCAACTGACATGATTATGGTGTACTTACTGACATGCTCCTGCCATAGAATTGCAACTTGGTGGGTCCGTCTGTCATAGTTGCAACCCTGCCAGGTACGTATGCTATGTTGCGACTCAGCAAAAATAATAAGGGCATCTACGTTTTAACAAGGCAAGACTGTGTATTACAGTTTAACTCAAGCAAAGCAAAGTAATATGCTGTTATAAACTGCGTTTCTCAATATAAGGGTATGTTGATCAACGTTGATAAACTTAGTTCTTAAAAGACCAAGACTACAGTTGCAACTTGGTGGGTCCGTCTGTCGTAGTTGCAACCCTGCCAGGTACGTTTGCTACGTTGCAACTCAGCAAGAATAAGGGCATCTACCACGATTTTAATAAGGCAAGGCTGTAAATTACAGTTTAACTCAAGTAAACCAAAGTAATATGCTTTTATAAAATGCCTTTCTCAATATAAAGGTATTTTGATCGACGTCGATAAACTTAGTTCTCAAAAAATATAGACATATAGTTGCAACGTGGTGAGTCCGTCTGTCATAGTTGCAATCGTGACAGATGCTTTGGCTGGGTTGAAACTCTGCCAAATCAAAGTGTCAAGGTTCAATCTCCATCGCAAAGAATAGCTGCAACAAGCGTGCGCATCTATTATAGCTAAAATAAGTCGGTACGTCTGTTATTTTGTACCTATAAAAGTGGGTAGCTTCTCAGTATAATCATCTGTTCGTAATTATTACGTATACTGTGCCAGTCATTAAACCTATTAGACTTTGTAACAATGTCAAATGAAAAGCACTCTAGTACATACTATACATAGCGGAGCTCAAAGTGACAGCAAGTAAAAAGCATCTCTGCAAAGATACATTTGTCAGTGGCTGGCTTTCACTGTACGTCGATAGTATAATGTATCAAGTGTACGCTATCTGGCATTAAGACTGAAGGATAGTAGGTTAAGCCTATACAATAGGGAGAAGCTTGCTGATTGCGCGTATGTAAATAAGCAACGAAGAGCATCATCGTTACCATTTAATCCTTCTCCTGACCCATGCTACAATGCATCTGTTTCAAGCGCTACAGTATAACCAAATTGCATGAATGAACTGTCTGCAATTTACCCTAATTTTCTCACTGTAACGGAAAAAATATTTGAAGTATAAGGTACCTGATGGATGCAGCTTACCGTCCTTAAACGAGCAGTAGATAAGTACAACGTTTGGTTTGTTGATGCTTTGCTCTGTGTCTATTTGTAAAGATAATAAGATCTGCCGCTGTATATAGAACTTTATCGCTTCTTTCTATGTAAAATGGTCGTTGTAGTTCAAGAGATCTTCCGTATTTTTATTTTGGCATCAATATATCTTTACATAGGTGCTTGTAGAGATCAGATTTGAGTGCGTACAGTACCTCTTTCTCACATCGTTACTATCCCGGCCTTGACATTGGTTGTAGCCATCATTGTCTATAGAGGTTCAAGCTTCAATCCATAGCACCAACGGAGATGCTTTCAATAGTATTTATTACAAACCCATAGCTCATTCATTTCATTTTTAATTCACTGAAAGTGAGCTTATAGGAGTCGACGCGAGTGTATCCCCAAAAAAGATTATCAATCATCCATCCTTTACAATGAACTGTGCTATACCAAAAAAAACTTGCCTCGATGAAAGTGTTCATCTCTTGCAGATACTTCCTATCAACGTATGCATTATCGTAAACGTGGCTATGATAAATAATCGACCCTAAAAACAGAAAGATATGTGTATAATATGTAAATGACTACATCATTCCAGCATCGCACAAGTAGTGATCATACCATCTAACAACTCAAGTATAGTGGTAATGACTGGAAGAACCACATGATAGTCAGGAACTATTCATATTAAAAAAAATGGTATCTCACAAAGAAAGCTAAGAGACAAATAGAATTGAACTTCTATGAACTCTACTAAAGAAGATCGCCTGCTCTTGCTAATACCTTTTATCAGATATCTACTTTAAACAAACCAACAGGATTGGGTTTTTGAGATACATTTTTGTATTGTCTGCAAGTTTGTGTGCCTCAATGTACGTACATTTTTTTTATTTCTAGTAGACTATTTCAAACTCTAAGCTCTCGTTTTTCATCTATGTCGAAGTAATACTGTAGCAAAGCGGGATTACTGAAGGGATTCTCAAGAAGTGTACTTAACCTTGAGCAAATTATTGCCGCACTCGAAAGATGGGTGCCGTCAAGTCGATGGCAGGGAATGCCGGTACACTGATGACAGAGAGCTACCATCATTAAGTTAGACAGATAGCAAGGGTGCTTTCATCGATGCCACCTACCCACTTGCTATAGGAGTCACCATGATAACAGTAATATGTATGTTGTATCTGCTCATTGTCATCAAAAGAGGTGGATAATGTATATGAGATGCATGTATAACTAATAGACTTAACATTCTCTTGTTTTTAGCCTACAAGTTATCATTGAGCTAACACTTCACTGACAGTAGACTTGCCCTTTGTGGAAATAATGTAAAATCTTTAAAGAATATTTGTGCAGTATCATTGGATACGTTAGATAGAGCCATGCCACCCTACCATCCCCTCTTTTGAGGTGAAAATTATTATTAAAAGTTGTTTGTTAGACGGTTCGTTTCTGAGCAAAAGGAGCTCACACTTTGCCGTATAGATGTTCCCGCGCGAAAAGAAATCATAACGACTAGCTAGTAATAATAATATCGAAATGCTTACACTAGATTATGAATACTGAACTAAATGTAATGTTGATATGTTTTGATTTTAATTGCTTTATTCCCAGTTATGATATCAACAACAAAATTGCTGCGTACTGCGAAGAAATACAAGTGGATCACGCTTACTTACAGCAGGAAAATATGGAGACATATACTTCGAATGTGATTAAGCGTTACATGCATGTCTTTAAGTACCATCGCTTCTCCCTATGTACAGATCATGAACTTACCAAGACATACCGCAGCCATACTATTTCATAGTCTTAAACTCCTACTAAAGTCCTTCCAGCAATGCAAGTGTAGAGTAGTTCAAGTGGTCCTAGCAATTTGTCAGTGGAGGATAGTAGAAAAGGTATTTTTTTGAACAAGAAGAAGGAGAAGAAGGCTTTAATCATGTTGTCGCTGCTGTTGTGGCGCCTTCACAAACTTGAGCTCACCCGATACCAGCCGACGCTCGATTTCATCTCGTTCATGCTGCAGTAAACGGCTGGGGTTGACGCGTTCGGTTCCTTCAGGCCAGCCTGACATGACAATATCGCGATACATTGCTTTGTCTTGCCATGCCATTTTTCTTCCTTCTGGGAGAGCAACTTGGTAATTCTCAAATATTGCTTGTCCTAAGGTAAAACGTTTTAAAAAGGTATTCGTACGTCGAGATCCACAAAGTCAGGTCGTTGACACTCCTAATCTATAATAAAAACGTACGGTACTTCTGGGCAATGATATTCCTCAATTTCTGCACTCCATCATGTTGAGCCGTTCGGGGCTTTTGGGACGTCATGGATGGCACTTGATTCGGGCCCGAGGAAATAGATGTCACAGGAGCAGCAGTGCTATCGGTTGCGGATGCGGATGCGGATGCGGAGGAAGAAGAGGAGGGTTGTTGGGTGGAAGTATCATTCTTGGACGCAGCTTCAGTGATAGATGAGCATACATGTAGTTGGTACAAAAAAATTGAAGTAGAGCAAAATAAGCTTACCAAGCTGTTTGTTGTATTGAAGCATTTGATCTTTGAAATGGTGACTGAAATTTTTCCCATTCAAATCAATTGCTCCTGCTTGCATCAAGCTCCAGAAGTGCATCCCGCCATCTAAGTTTTGTTCATCAGAAATTGATAAGATAAATATCGCGTTCATTTATAATAGAATCACAGAATGTTACCAGAGCCATATCCATCCTGATCGGGTTGGATAGCGTTGTTAATGTTGCATGGTGCGACAAAACAGATTCCTTCCACACCACATTCTTCTCTCAACATTGTCAAGTTACGGGTAAGGTAACCTGACAGTTTAACAAAAGCGCTTCTTTTCTTTTGCAGCTCAGAAGCGGGTTGCTGCTTGTTATGCTCGTCAGCCATTTCCTGGTAGAAAGCTTTATCTTCCCAGCTAAGACTGTTCCACATCGAGGCCTTTTCGCTCATGATGCTGCATATTTGGCTGCGGTCATGCTTATACCGTTTGCGGTCTGGTGATAGTCAAATAGTACTTGTTAGCATGCATCGATCTACAAATAAGTAACTTAAAAAATGTTTACGACCTTGTTCGAGATACAACTTTTTTTGAAACATATTGTATGCGGTGACCTTTCCAGCGTTCTTTCGAAGAAAAGGCAACTTTGGTGCATCCAAGGACTTTACATCCTCTCCGTACTTCTCGGCAATCGCGGCACGGCGAGTCCTCCACTGCTCAGTGAGCTGCTTCTCCATTGCCGCAATCTCGGCTTTCATGGTCGCGTTTTCTCCAGCAAAACTAGAAGATGCTGCCTCGTCAGCCTGCTGCACGGTTCTGACATCGCGAAGAGCCTTCAAGCGAGCGATTTCGCTTTTAAGCGCACAAGAACGCTGCACATCACCTCCCGTATTGGTCACGAGGAATCCCACCACGTTTTCCTCAGTCTCGAGGAAACGCTTTTCCACCTCGCTTCTGAGGCGCTGCTCCTTAGAAAAAATTGCAAGGGCGTACGTGTACAGAGGGATGAGGTTGGTGTCGTTGTTTGGGAGCATTGTCATTAAGATGCAGTGTAATAAAAACGAATAGTTAATTTTGCACCAGCCCTGGACTGAGGTCAAATCATTCAACAGCCGAAGTTTGCGGTTTTTGCGGTTTTTGCGGTTAGACCAAATAGTCTAAACCGCAAAGCTCTATCAGTGACTATAGCAGTCTTGGCGGAGGGGATTTCCAGCTGTCGCTGCTATCGGTGCTTGCTGGGTTGCGGTCTTTTCGTCCTTTCT